AGTGGCAGAGCATGCTTGCCAACAAAGCGCCAACAAAGACATTCAATTGATTTTGATAAAGTTGAAGTTGTATGCAGAACTAATTATTACTTGCCAAGATTAGTTAGGAGAATCCACTGAAATTGAGAAGAATTCAAATAATTTTAATCGCTGCGATAGCTATTGACTCAGCGCAGCCTGGAAGCGTATTATTAAGTAATACACAACACACATTGCAACTCCTTACAGGTGAGTCACATGCTAAGTGGCTGATTACTGATCTAATACATAATTGCAAACACCCCCACCCCCAATCTCGAATCCTGATGGGGTTCAACAATGACGACGTCATCCCGCACTATTTAACACCGGAAGCACGTGGGTGACCTCACTAGTCTGGCAAATCGCCCCGAAGACGCTGGATGTAATTTTCAGCGAAACGGCGTACTCAAAATTGTAAATGATCCACTCTAAAGTAGTGAAATTGTTGTCAACGTGCCACATCTTGTACCGATTGGCCGTGTCGAGCGGTGCAGGGTCGCGACACATTTATAAATAACGCGATCTAACCCGAAGACCTTTATCTTAAACATAAAACTCTGCACATCAGGCACGGGTGCAAGCCAATTCTGTTTGAATCGAGTCCATTAACTGGGCAACCACAAATCTGGGGCTGATCCAGTACCTTCAAGGATGGGTGAACAAACACACTTGGATCATCATCTTGCAGAGAAATGTTTAGGTCATGGCCTTGGCTGGGCCAACACGATCATGTATTAAGTATGTTTTGAAAGCAAAGATACAATTGGGCAAAACAACAACCTCAACATATGATTTTGTTTGTTGTCACGGTTTCTGAGCACAGGCCCAAATGTTCGACATGTCAAAAGGCCAGCAACAAACGGCACTCTTTAAGGTGATGTCTATGAGATAAGTGTGAATGTGTGTCCTCGATTGAAAAAGGAGTGAATTCCGAAGTGCAGCGGTGCGAGGAAAGAATCAATAAGAGAAGTGTTTTGATTTCCAGTGTGGTTGTAATTGAACACGGTATGGATGAGTCACAACAGTGTCTTCGAGGCACGGTCCTCAACACGGGTGGAGGAATCAAGGTGTGAAGTTCACAGACAACAGTAACCACACCATGGCAGTGGCAATAAGAGGAGACGGCTGACCGGCCGGTGACCGAGTGGACGGAGATCATCCTGTCTGACGATGACAGACTGGAAAACTTGGCTGTCAAATTTCTCCTGCAGGTAATGGTGCACGTTGCAGAGTATGAAAAGGAACAAAATATGAAGTTAACTTTGAGTTGGGTGGAGCGTACAAATGGCATCAAAAGCTTTTTTAATATTTCGGGCAATGCTTAAACAATAGAATGCCCCCACTGTAATTTTTCAAAATTTCGACAGCTTATCAATTGTGAAAAGAGAAAGTGAAGCAGTACGTAACGTAAATGTAACTTAGTTTTCTTGATTAAACTGGGCAAAAGGCTGCGACTGAACTCAACAATTTAAGTGACTAAAGCACTGTACTGCATTGCGACGGGCGATTCTACCGCCCTGGTTAGAGATTAACGCTGGCTGGGAACATGTGATTTTCTGCACAGCTTAACAAAGCCACACATCGGCCCCGATAATAGAAAAAAAATACACACGCACGGCTGTTTCTTACTTTCAAAGTCGCTCGTCGAAACGTAAATTTCCGTGAAAAAGAGCTTCAGAGCTCATCGGATTCCTCCAGCACGAATGAAGATTCTGATGCTGACATTGAGTACTGTAACTGATCGCGGCATACCAATAATGGATCATCGTGGCGTGAAAGAGACACCGACCCCAAAATTGTTTCCCGTCAATGTAGGCAGGAAAGTGCTCATCTCCTCTTTACAGCCAAACCTGGAAGTGAGGGAAATTCCACATTCCTCTGGCAGTTATACAATACAATTTGTATTTACATTGCATATAAATGAGGCATGTCTAGACGCTGTATGAAAGGAGGCATGTTTGGCTATTTAATTATTGAATACACAGCCTTAAAGGAGGAGAGTGAGAGGCCTAGAGACCGAACACGGTAAATGCACAGAACCACAATTTAACAAAAACAATGGGATTTGATTCACACACGTTGCAATACTTTCAAGCCCCTGAAGCCAATATTGGCCACTAAATTTTATGAATAATGGCACGAATAAACTGGCTGAATGGCTACAGAGGGGCTAATGTTTTGCATTGAAGTGTGGTTTATTAGCTCTTCGATGACCACTGCAACCGAGTGAAACTCTTAAATGTAAAATATAATTTTTCCAGGAGATTAATTTTAACCCAACGTTAGCAACTGCAGTACACACGCGGGACCTTCAAATGTCAAAAGTTCCACTGTTAAAAGGAGAAATATCACAAAGACATTGTCGGCAGAAGGCATTGCATCAACATACGTTGGTGTACTGTATTATGCGCCAATATCTAGTTCCCCACCTGCAATGACCAGCACGGTGAGGTATGGTCAAGCAACCCCAACAACCCGTACGGTATGTGGAGGCCCTCATCCAGCAGTGAATTTACAAAAAAAATGGCTGCACATCTCAATGAACTTTGGCCATGCAATAGTGTGGTCGATGCATTTAAACTCGGCTGACGTTCAAATCAATGTGTAAGCAGTACTCTAAATGATCAGCACGAATAATCTGGCACCATTTACATGGTTCGTGGTATACAGCACTCAAGTGCTAAGTCAGAACAGCAGTTGGCTTCCCAGTGTAAAGTTGTGAGTATATTTGACTTACTGCCAAACAATTGAAATTAGTGTCACTCAATGCTCGAGAGAGCATATCAACATTTACGTATCTTTTTTCAGTGGCCAGGGCATAAGCATGTAAGCAAAAATAATTAATGATATTTACGTGTAATATTGACGGTGAACTATATATATAATTTGGGTTAAAAAAACGAAGGTGAAAAGAATAATAAAGCCATCAACTCTTACAATTTGTATTTGGACATCTGCTGCCTCCTAAAAAAAATATTGGTAGTGTTCATTATTTGGGAATACAATCAATTCTATGAGGTCAAGAGTGGCGGTGTGGCCAACATTAACAGACTTTTGGGGCAAGTGCTGTTAGCGAGCACCTATGAAAGCCGGCACGGCACACGAGGGGGTGGGTGGCCAACACTACGCTCGGCCACCTTTGTCTCTGCAGTGGCGATGTTTTTTACACAGCACCAGGTCCTTAATTGAGGCCGAGTCGACCTAGGGGAGGCCCTGGACTGGTTCAGAAAATTGTCACGGGTGTTGGCCGTGAGCGGGAATCGAACTTGGGTCGCCTAGTTCATAGCGCAGCGCGATGAACCGCTACACTACCACTCCCCACACACACGTGCACCTTCTTTCAATTGACCCTCAAAAACAAAAGGTTATTATCACCGTGAACGTCACGTACACCACCATTCCTTCCTTCATATTTCAGAAGTTGTAAAGTTGACACTCAACCTCCAAATCCGCTCTTACAGTCAAACCATCACCAACATCACCATCTGGCTTTAGGTCTTCTAATTGGAAACTGACCTCTGGGTGCCACTCCAATGCCCGTCTCGGTCACCTTTCTTCCTGCACGTCCCGTTTCACCGTGATGTCATCTTCCTGATTACATCTACAACATGTTTTTTTTATTTCCGAAGATTAAATTTTTTTGTACTCAATCCTTCCGTGACATTTATAGCATCTTGCGTATTGCAACCCTAATCGAATTGGCTCTCACGTGGTTTCAATAAAAGTTACACACTTGTTATCGAGTACTAAAGACTATAAACCTATTAGCTGTGCTTGCTGGCAATGTGCTATAGTCAAACACACATTAAGGCTAGCAAGACTAAAGACCACCAATACCTAAGTGTTATAGATTAAGGATGCAAGTGTTATGTACAAGCACCTATTAAGGCGAGCACACAGAGGCACATCAGTGCTGTTAAGAGCTGGATAATGTGTACCTTGTCAGCTGACATTTAAATGCCCCCACGTGTTGCAGTCAACTGATGCCAGTATACCGATTTTACAGAGTTCGTAAAACGCACATAGATTACACATTACAAGTCCATGGACAATGTGCACCATCATTGTCGGACACGGTCAAATCCACTGCTGGATTAAGGCCTTCCCAATCGGACCCCATCTCTCGCGATCGTACGATGTAACAATCCACCTAGCACCACCCATCACCTGCACACAAACATCCACGGTTGGCTACGTACGGCGCGAAAGAAGTTCAACATACATTCATACAGATCACTCTTTGATTCTTTCGGTAAAGTTACGTGACTTTACCGAAAGACCCAAAGAGTAATTCCTGCAGTCACGAAAGCTCCAAATCAAATTCATACAGATCATTGGTGATGGCGATGATGACAAAAACAAAGCACGTGGCAATGCAGTATTGTTAACGATAGTTGTGGAACAACACATCTTCAATTACAATACAAAACATGCCAATAAGTCCTGTTTCTTATTTTCAATTCTTATAACTTGTAAGAGTCACCAATAACTTTTGAACATACTGTATGTATCATCCGTGTTCTGTTTGTTTGAGAGCGACAAGTCACCACCTACCTGTCTTAGAGGGGACACAGACTCTATCTGGCCAAACTCAAAACTAAACTTTCAAACTTGGCAGGACCCTCCTGCAAAAAGTGTCATGAGACTCGGCGAGTCCCTCTCTCCTGGTTAAGCAAGCTGTACATTTAAAAAAACCCCTCTCCTTTCCAACGCACCACAGCAGGGGAAAGAGCGTGTGGGGTCTTTGCCAAGCGACTGAAATTCAACATTAGCATGACGGCGACCAGTAAGAAACTCACCACCAGGCCACGATCAATTCACTCCTGGGTTAAGGGCTTCCCCTCCACCAAGTTATCGTCATCCTATCGACTTTGTTCTCCGATGTAACAATCCACCAAGTACCCGCACCGGAGCTGATTTCATCGCTCCGTCTCCTGCACGGATGTCCACTCCCGTCTATCGCGCGCGCGAATTCGCACCTTGCAATTCCAACGATGCAGTCACCGCACTGTACGGCAAAAGCCGGCTCACCGATGCGGCCCTTTATCCCGCCGTTCGACACATTTTAACAGCACACACCACATTGTTCACTGGCGTCATTCACGCAACCAACGCCTACACCACACATACCACGCGCAAGCCAATGCACACACAGAGAGGCAAACTCCACTCAACTCTTACCAGCAGTACGCCTTCCTACTCCACGTAACCCCTTCGCTATGCGCGGGACGAAACCCGGGCTCCCTTAGCCGGCCAGTGTCTCGGTCGTCTCGGTGGCGGTGTGCGACTGAGAGACGCTTGGGAGGAAGAAAACAATGCTACGTTGCACCGGCCACTTCGCACTCCGCGCTGCTTACTTACTGTCCCATTCTCTACGCTGTGAAGCGTGGATGGTTGTGTGTGGGGGGGTGGGTGATGATGGGTTTAATAAAACGCGTTACCAACCCGGCGATCGGCGCGCGTCGGCCACCGTAGCCGGCCGACGTGGGCGCTTCCTACACGTGGGAATGTTGTGATTACATTTCGCAGCGCGCATAGGCGCCCGTTAAATGACTCCGTTTGTAAATGTTACTGCGGGTAAGGCGGAGCTCGGATGACGCGTCGACATTTGATGCTGCGCATGGAGAGGGTTGGGTGCTCGTTTGACGGGATCTAAATTATATTTGACAGTGCACATTGGAGTTATTCAATTGCATTTGCTGCCGTGCATGAGAGACAACTCCTGTACGATGTAGTTTTACATTTGCGATCAGTACTCCGGTGATGTGCCCGGGCCTATCGGATGGCTTTAAATCAGTTATTATATATTTTAAAAAAAATTGTGGTTGGGATTCCTCCCTTTCAATACATAAAATCCAAGTAAAGATCAAAATCTTTCTTTCATACTGGAGGAACCCGATGAGCTATAAAGTTATTTATTTTTTCTTCACAAATGGCAGAGATGCAGTGATATGAAAAGCCGTGTATGCAAGCGTAAAGATGAATAAAGAGCGACGCAGATTGAGTTCAATGAGAGGAGACTGAGATTGCTGGAGACAATTAGATGGGAGTTAGATGTCAGAGAGAGGCGTAAGAATGAGAGACGAACTCGCGACCTGACATTAGGCTAGTCACAATAATTGCGCGGGGCCATGAATGTTCACTTTGTTTTGCTAATGCCGAAAGCCACCGGCAATTATGCCCCAAATCCTTAATTGGGGTTCGCTGTAGGATGCAATGGCATTTAATGGGGGTGTTGAACTTGCTCATCTCTCATTGCCTTTAACATGATATTCTCATTGGCTTCGCTCATGTACTTTTACATGCTTTTCTCATTAACTTTAACATGCAACTCTTTCCTACACATAAACTCATTAACTTGTTTTGATTTAAAGCTTTCGTGACTGCAGGGATTCATATTATTGGTTCTTTCGGTAAAGTCACGTAGAAGGGAAACAAATAATAAAAATATAAAACAATACAATTCTCACGACGTTTCGACTGCAACACAAGAATATGATATTAACTTGCTAATTTTTTCATTAACTTTTACATGCTTCTCTCAAAATACATATGCTAATCCTACATGCTAATCTGAGCTCTTATGCGCTATGGAAGCTCATTAACTTTGCACTATAATCCAACATGATAATCTAAGTTCATTTCCTTCAACATGCCACGCTATTTATTACCTTTACACTATAATACCCCATTAACACTACTTCGGCTACCTTTGTTCTCAAAAACTTATATAAACTCTTTACAAGGCAGCAGATATCGTGCTGCTCGCAGCAGACATCGCGGATATCGCGATTTTCACCTGAAGACGATGGCTTGTGTTGCTATCGAAACGTCGTGATTTATTTTGTTTTATTTCTACATACGTGACTTTACCGAAAGAATCAAATAGTATACATAGGAAGTAGCGCAGTGATGTGCCGGGTGGTTCCAGATGTCTTGTGATCCACCCCCCTCCCCCCCCACGAATTAATTGACCCTTAAAATGTTTATCCCCTTTGCATATTCATTCACGTGGCAAATAAACCTTGCTTTTAAAATATGACGCTTTGGAGAATGAAATACGGGTCACAATATATCTGGACCACTCCGTATATGTAATTACATGACTGCTGTACACGTAAGTACAATACTGTACTTTATTGCATTTTAAAACACTACAGGTAAAATATCCCAAGAATGGAATGTTATACTACATTCAAGGTATCGAAAATGTTACATTAGATGTTTCGTTATAAGGGTTCGCTCACAGATGCTATGCTTCTCACCGGGACTAAAGCAGGAAGTTATTTTTCCCCAAATACATTCCTTAAATAATTATCAAATAGAGCAAGTCAAGATCTATAAGTATATTGGGGTCATCCTGGATTCAAAACTGAATTTTGAAGATCGCATTGATTATATTGGTAAAAAGACAAAAATAAAAATTGGTTTTCTGTATCGACACAAGCACTGCTCCCTCCCTATGTTCCGTTTGGAATTGATAAAAGCTTCCATACTGCCTCTACTTGATTACTGTGATATCGTGTATAAATCAGCCCCAAGTACTGTACTGAAAAAGCTTGATTCCATCTATCACTCGGTATTAAGATTTCCATTGAACTGCCCATATACGACCCACCACTGAGATCTCTACATTGGGTCAAACTTAACATCTCTTAATGTTCGACGGCTTGTGCACCAAATCTTATTTATTCACGATGTACTTACAAAAAATCCACAGACTACCTGCTGGATCTCCTCTCTGTTTCAAAGAACAAATTTGACCTCAGGTCTTCGCTCATTTACCAGCTTCACATTCCTATTGCCATACAAAAACCGGAGGAAGGGCCTTTGCTATTGATGCCCCCAGGGTCTGGAATGCTATTGCCAATAAACTGCAACTTGAATCACTACCTATGAGATCTTCACTCAAAACTGCTCTAGAGGAGTTGTACACCCCTAGCTGCCACTGCTATTCAGTGGCCTAAAATAAAATTCAATGTTTCGCTCCGGATGACCGCTGCAAAGTATTATCTGTATTTTGATTTAGTGTGCTGATCATAAAGGTGCATTGAAAAATGTGATACTCCGACTGATGCTCCTGTTGTTGTGGAGTGACTCATGCAGCCAGCTATGGCTCTAGGGTTTAGTGTTACATGTTATTTATGTAGTTTATTGTTAAAAATTCGGTCACAGTTCCTATGATCACTGTTACATTGCATTTATGGCTTTATTTTGGTGATTTCTAAAAGTTTTTTGGTTTGGCCATGTTTTTGTTTATTGTAGTACGGAGTTAGACTGATGGCCTTAATCTTAGTTGTCTTGTGGTTGTTGTTGTTTGACTTACATCCCACTGGGATTTTTGCACACAGCGTTGGTGTATACGGTGCTATTTCAGGAATATTTTGATGTTTTTTTCCTGGATTTTCTGTTTGCACAGTCACATAGTCACTTTAAGATGTTTTCTTGTTCATGTTTTTTGTTTGTTGCGGTTGCACCCGATTCAAGAGCCGAATGGCTCACAGGGCTATACCAAATAAATGGAACTATGAACTATGAAAATGTATCACGACATTTAAGTTTTGTTAAACACGTGTTAGTCTCGTTCATAGATAATGCACGCTCTCGATGGGAGAGAATGCAATCTTTTTCCCTCCAATGTGGATTTGTTTGTTTTTTAAGCAGCATTCTAAACGTGACCGCATCCTTTCAAGACTCTGGTCAGACACAGTGACCGTAGTCTGTACATATTTTACAGGGATATGAAAACGGAGAGAGTTGAAAAAAAAGTAATGAGCCTCGAGTTGAACGGGGTCGGGAGTCGACAGCACGGATGGCTGGGGGAAGAAGGGATTCCGGGCCAAAGAGGACAGCAAAGGGGCCGTCCATAAATGACGTCACGCGATTTTGGACGATTTTTGACCTCCCCCCCCCCCTTCGTCACGGCGTTACGAAAAGTCAGACCCCCCCCCTCGAATATGACGTCACAAAGCTCTGCCCCCCCCCCAAAAAAATGCTTAAAATCGACATCATTGGAGCTCCTTTGCCAGTACCAAAATATAATAATATGGTGTTTCCCTTTTTTTCTGGCAACAAAACGGAAACCTTTTTTTACAATGATTCATATCTGCATTAATCACTGCAAGTATTGTGGTTAATGCAGATATGAATCCTCGTAAAAAAAGGTTTCAGTATTGTTGCCAGAAAAAAGGTGACAAACCCTATTATTATATTTTGGTACTGGAAAAGGAGGCCCAATGATGTCGATGCTTACCCCGAGCCCTCATTACTGTACGCATTTTGGCGTGATCTGGTCTAGCACCAATTGAGACGAGGCTCTAAAGAAAGCCGTCTCTGGTGTGGACCAATCAGTTTCAAGGACAATGCCAGTTATGTTACCAGAGTGTTTTTTGTTTGCATTTTGACTGCAAGTATTGTGGTTAATGCAGACATGAATCCTCGTAAAAAAAGGTTTAAGTTTTGTTGCCAGAAAAAAGGGGAAAAATCCTATTATTATGCTTCAAATCGCTTTAAACTATTGTCATTGTAGTGCGTATTTAATGTGGCGCTGCACTCTGATGTTGGAGAAAACGTTTATTAAAACCTCTACTTAATTAAGTAGAACGTGTTGTCTATATTTATTTAAAGTTGCACATTTCTCAAACCACCCCCCTCGTCACACATCGTCACAAATGTCTGACCCCCCCCCCCCCCCCGAGGTGCGTGACGTCATTTATGGACGGCCCCAAAGGAGAATTAATTGAGGGCCCTGCCACTGAGCGAGGCTACAGCAGCACAAACCTATAGAACATTATACGACGTCAAACTTGATTTTAAGCTTTTGTGACTGCAGGAATGACTCTTTGGTTCTTTCGGTAAAGTCACGTGGGAAGAAAATAATTAAATAATGTGGCACGCCGTTTCGATTGCAACACAAGCAATCGTCATCAGGTAGAACTAAATTTGAGAGAGAGACAAAACACAGACACGGAAACACACAAGCAGAGAGAGACACAACATAGACACACAGAGACCCAATGCCTCTGTGTCGTGGCCTTAAATAGAGAGGGGGGGGGGGGCAGAGAGAGAGGTGGGTCTGCTGGAGCAGAGAAATTAGCATGTCAATGAAAGACCCAGCAAGACTGGTAAATTTTAGAGAGAGTTGTGTGGAAATCCACCCCGAGGGA